CTTGTAAAATGATATGATAAATAGTAAGCTAATTTGTGTTTTCGGTTTCAGCTCAGAGATAGCATGCGTTTTGTTGAGGTGGTTCTGTTTGAACCGGATAAGCATGTTGTTGCGCTGGCAGATGCATATTTCTTTCCTCCTTTCCAACCATCATTGCTTCCCAGATCAAAAGGTGGACCTATAATTCCTACAAAGTTGCCTCCAAGAAGGGCTAGACTTGTTGTTTACAACAAACGGTCAAATGAGACAAGCTTATGGATTGTGGAGCTCTCTGAAGTACATGCAGCGACTCGAGGTGGACATCATAGGGGAAAAGTGATTTCATCTCAAGTTGTTCCAGATGTCCAGCCTCCAATGGTTTGTCATTTTTTGCTGGCATTTATTCTTACTTCTTCCACTCTTCATGTTCATTCAGTCTTTGAGTTCCACTAATGATGAAAGTAAATATTTACAACTACTGTTTATTTAATTGGGATTTATCCCAGTTAGTAATCATAAAAAAGTTAAGAAACTAGAATTATAGATGCTATACTTGTCAATGATGAGTCTTGTAACAACCATGTGCCTAAATTTTAACCACACACTTTTCCAATTGAGGGAACCTGTCATGTTCCAATATCTTGAAACCATAGATAGCAAGTAATTTCAGAAATCTCTAATTCATGGCTTCGTCAACTTTTTATCAAATAAATTATTCTTTGTTTGATTTTGTTTGTTATAAGCTATTTTGTTTTAGTAAACGTCATATTTAATGGTCCATTAGCCTGGTCTGAAGATGAAACCTGTTTTCTTAGCTGATAAGTGCATTATCAATTTTCTAACTTTTAGGAGCTGGTATATTTGAAATGACTTATTAGTATTTGATAGATGAGTTGTATTTGCACACTCATTTATGTTTTTAGTTTGTTTAAATATTCTATTTGTAAGTTCAGGATGCTGTTGAATATGCTGAATGTGAAGCTGTTGTTAAAGACCTTCATCCATTTAGAGAGGCAATGAAACAGAGAGGTATTGAAGACATGGACCTTCTGATGGCTGATGGCTGGTATGCTAATTTCTTTCCTCATATTAGCGGCTGGGAAGGTGCAATAGGATGGTGTTAAGTTATTGATATTTCATGTAAATATTTATGCTGCAGGTGTGTTGGTTACCACAGTGATGCTGATGCTCCAAGCAGAAGACTTGCCAAAACACTTATATTTTGTAGAACTGAGAGTGACTGTCCAATGGAAAATGGTTATGCACGTCCAGTTGAGGGCATCCATGTACTTGTTGATATGCAAAACATGAGGGTCATTGAATTTGAAGACCGTAAACTTGTTCCCTTACCTCCTGCTGATCCATTGAGGAACTATACTCCTGGTGAAACAAGAGGTGGTGTTGATCGAAGTGATGTGAAACCCTTACAAATTATCCAGCCTGAAGGTCCAAGCTTTCGTGTTAATGGACACTATGTAGAATGGCAGAAGGTACATGACTTGTTAAATTTTTCTGTTAATAAGTTCTGAAAATTATGATGAAGAACCTGATTCCATTCTCGCTGGTTGACAGTGGAATTTTCGCATTGGATTCACTCCTAGGGAGGGCTTGGTTATACATTCAGTTGCCTATGTTGATGGTAGTAGAGGGAGACGACCTTTAGCCCACAGGTTAAGCTTTGTAGAGATGGTAGTTCCTTATGGAGATCCAAATGAGCCACATTACCGGAAGAATGCATTTGATGCAGGGGAAGATGGCCTTGGTAAAAATGCACATTCCCTAAAAAAGGTTTGTTAGCTACTTGACCCAGTCTGCTACAAATTAAATTATATATTTTTTTGGTAGATTTGATAATAATAAAAACTACCATTGCAGGGCTGTGATTGTTTGGGCTTTATTAAATACTTTGATGCACACTTTACAAACTTCACTGGAGGTATTGAAACAATTGAAAATTGTGTATGTTTGCATGAAGAGGATCATGGAATTCTATGGAAGCATCAGGATTGGAGGACAGGTTTAGCAGAAGTGCGAAGGTCTAGGCGGCTGACGGTGTCCTTTATTTGCACAGTTGCTAATTATGAATATGGATTTTTCTGGCACTTCTATCAGGAAAGTTATATCCTATACTATTTGTGTTGCATCCATACACTTCTATGCTAATTTAGATGTTGCCCTTGTGAACTATGAGAAGGTGCCAGTAGCAATATGCATAATTTTATGGCATCTACACTACTTTATGGACTCATGACAGTATAATGTATGAACTTTCTGGAATACTATGTCTTCTTTTCTATTACCTAGCTGCACCTATTCTCCAAATGTTGATTTAAGCGAAGTGATAGTTTGTGTTTTGTGTAGTCGTTGGTTGTACTGTTCACTCTTGAGAATGAAAATGACATGTAAGTTTGTTGGTACAGGATGGAAAAATCGAAGCTGAAGTTAAGCTTACGGGAATCCTTAGCTTAGGAGCATTACAACCTGGGGAGACTCGAAAATATGGTACTACCATTGCCCCAGGTCTTTATGCGCCAGTTCATCAGCACTTTTTTGTTGCTCGTATGGACATGGCTGTTGATTGCAGACCTGGTGAAGCTTTCAATCAGGTACTCTGCATTGAATTTATGAGCTACTATTTCAAGTTTTAAAGTGCTCAGGTCGTGCATTGCCTGCTAGTCAAGTGCGAGTGTGTGTTTGTGTTAAAAGAGGGAGGGTTCTATTAGAGAACAAAAATTGGGAGTTACTTTTGGAGAGTTTCTGAATTTTTTAAAGTAGTTAGAAGACTCAAAAAGGCATGACATTTCTGCAAATGAATACAATGCCTCATTAATACCAACACTTTTGTAGTCAATCATCAAGATTTCTCAGCCACCATGAGATGATGCACCTCATTGCAAGCTGCATCCGTAGTCTTTGTTTCATAATTCCTCAGTTCTGAATTGTTAATAAAAGTTCGATGTATGTTTCTGGAAAGGTTTGCTTTTCAAAAATTACAATACACCCCTGTTTTTATATGTATATAACAGATGGCTCTATTTATTTATTTTTTTCATTTGTGCAGGTTGTGGAGGTAAATGTTGAAGTTGAGAAACCTGGGGAGACAAATGTCCACAACAATGCATTTTATGCCAAAGAGACGCTGCTCCGATCAGAATTGGAAGCAATGCGTGCTTGCAATCCACAAACAGCTCGCCATTGGATTGTAAGTCATTCTTTCCCCTGTTGTAGATGCTCTTCATGAGACATTGTTAAGGACTGATACAGTTGCTTCTTCCCTTGAAATGCTTCATGTTGGATGTATTTATTCTGGCATATTGTTTGCTTCACTGTATTACTGTATCTCTGGGATATTACTGGGAGCCAAGACTCCTGGTTTTAATTATATGCAATGGCTAATGAGGCCTAAGTGCTAGTACTGAAAAAAGAAAAGCTTATGTTCACGTGACACTGCGAGTCTGTCACCCAGAGTAGAAATTTTATAATTTATGCTGATACGTACTTGCCTTTAGAAAAATCTCATAGTTAACCATTTCATGCTATTTATTCTTCAGGTTAGAAACACTAGAACAGTAAACAGAACTGGACAATTAACAGGCTACAAGCTAGTACCTGGTTCCAATTGTTTGCCATTGGCTGGTTCAGAGGCTAAGTTTTTGAGGCGAGCTGCATTTTTAAATCACAATCTTTGGGTTACACCTTATACACATGGTGAGATGTTTCCTGGAGGAGAGTTCCCTAATCAAAATCCACGTGTTGATGAAGGACTGGCTACATGGGTTAAGCAGAATCGACCTTTAGAAGAAACTGATATAGTTCTTTGGTTAGTTGAAAATATCTTCTCTCAGTTTGTCTCTGAATCACTCCTTTGTTCATCTTCTTTTGGATTCATCATTTTATATTAGTCAGATGACGTAGTCTTTGACTTCATGCTATTTTTGAAAGACCAAGGTTGCAGACACTCGTTTGTGATGAATGTGCTGGACTAACCCACTAAAATGGTAGTCGTAACTTGACATAAAGAGTTTTCGTTCCATAATAACCATGAAAACATCAACAGCTTCATAATTTGTCATACCTCACATTGTTTGTAGATTTTTAATGCAACATTTACAAGCTAAGCGTTGTGTCATATCTGACTCAGTTTATTACAGGTATGTATTTGGGATCACACATGTTCCTCGGTTGGAAGATTGGCCGGTCATGCCAGTGGAGCGCTTAGGCTTTATGCTTATGGTAATTACTTTGCACATACAATCTCATTTCTTTCCTCAATGTCTTTGAAACTTCTCTGTTGGTGCTCATGAATATTGTCCTACACAATGAAGCAGAATGTCGCCAAATTTATATAGATTTATTGCAAATGGCAGTGCAAATGCTCAAAATATTGGTCATCCCTTCTAAAAATTCAGTTCACTCTAATCAGATCATTCTCATGGATTTTCTTGATTGATCATGAGCATCATTTAAGATATTTGATGGCTATTCGAACAAGTAATGACTAGCATTAGATTAGATATCCAATCACTTTAGTGGTGAAAATGTTGGTCCTATACTGAACATGTTGGATTACATTATTATCTTCTTAGTGCATGTACTATATTTCTCTGATTCTGCTGGTTTTTGTGGAATGCAGCCTCATGGGTTTTTCAACTGCTCTCCTGCTGTGGATGTTCCTCCCAGCACATGCGAATTGGATGCCAAAGACAATGATGTTAAAGACAATGGTGTAACGAAGCCACTTCAAAATGGGGTGCTAGCCAAGCTCTAAGCCAGTTACAAACTATTGTAGTCTCCACCAATCATCAAAAGCACAGAACCTCTGAATTTGATGTGTTGTGGGGAAGGAACTGCATGCAGCAAGTGCTAACCAACATGCTAGATCAAAGTTATTGTTTCTTGTACATCATAAACATCTGGATTGGGCTCTTGTGCTTTGATTTGACATTTTGTTGATCGTTGATGTGTTGTGGATTTGAATGCTTGATTAGTCTATCGATGTATAAAAAAAAACCTTGTTTTTTGTTTTCGCTAGTAGCAGTTGTTTCTCTGTAACCATTACTAGTTTTGATACTACGGGGTAAGTTGTGTTGAAAATCAAGGGACGTGTGGAGGTCAACTTTGCCACTGGATTTCTCATGTTGAGATATGCGCTGTCAACTTTGCCACTGGATTTCTCATGTTGAGGTATAAAGCAGACCGTGCTTCTTCTTATGCTGTTTGAAAGGTGGTCTCGGGACAAAAGCATGCAGCTCAACATCCTTTGCAAAAACGTTTCCTCTAAAATACTGTATGCATCACCATATTTTAGATAATCCAACCAAACGACGATCACCCCTGAAGAGTATATCTCCTCTCTATCGCGTCATAGGTTTCCTCCTCGGAGGCTGCCTCTTTCTCTAGAGTAAAAACCTTGAGGTGTCCTAATAAATGGAAGAGGGAAAATAGGGATCGAAAGATACCGAGTGCTTACCTCGTTTGCAAAAACTAAAGTTAAGGCTCGTGGGAAATCTTGCATGGCCCAGAAGAAACTTAGAAATAGCCTTTGCATTCAAAATTTCCAACCAATTGGTGTCAGCCGTCAATCTCTTATAAAAGTCTGTAACAGCGGACTCTTCCTACATGAATAAAGAATGAAACACGTAAAAAAAGAACTAGAAAACAGAATTAAGATAGAAAAAGAAAAGGAAGTAGAATGTGGAATGAGTGGGATGGAAGATTCAGATTTGACTGCAGGATTAAAAAAGTTTGACTTGAATGAAAGGTTCAGATTTAACGATTAAGGAAGTTTGACTAGTGATATTAATATAGATAATCAGCCCCTATAGTGATAACTATTAATACTAGATGTAATTCGTTGGATGTTTTTGGATACCTTATAGTACGAGTTAGAGTACTCCTATAGGATAATAATGGGGTGTATTCAAATGATGTGTTGAGCAGTGTATTTACGAAGAATTTATGGATATCAATGATAATAAGATATGATATGAAACAATGAGGGATTTGTTGAGCAATGTGGTAGATTTACATCAAAGTTATAGCTTTAGAATGTGTTTAAAATGGAAAGCTTTTGAGATGAAGATCAGAAGAAATTACTTTCAGATTCAGAATAAGAAATGGAGTATAGAATTGGCATAAATAATGTTCGAGTGGAGAATACAAAGGAATACATGCTTGTCAATGCATGACATAAAATGTAAGGCCAATGGGCCTATATGATGTTACATGTGATGGACATAAATTATTTGGAGTTTACTACCTGGTAAATGTCATGAATTATTGGATCTGCCTTGTAAGTTCTTCGGATATAAAACTTTATATGTGGGTGTAGGCGTGCGTGTGGATCTGCCTTGTAAGTTCTTCGGATATAAGACTTTATATGTGGGTGTAGGCGTGCGTGTGCTATGATTGCAGGGTATTTTTACTCATCATTGTAAGTCAGTGTTTGAACTTGTTAATCAACAAGTGCTTAGGAGATTTGATGAGACGATAATTGTAATAAATAATCAAGTTGTAAAATAGTTTAATGAAAGCTACTAAACATGTATTTGTACAAACTTATATTGTAAAATTGATTATTTATCTAATTTAAGAAGTGCTAGCTTAGTATGGGTTATGGAGATGAATTGCTATATGAGAAGAACCTTTAATGACTCGTATAGAGAAAATTTTATTAAGATTTTAATGGAATTGTTAATGAAAAGTTAATGATTGGAAATAGGATAGCAAATAACAATAACTTATATTGTTACTGCTCAACTGGAAATGATATTAATTGAAATTAAAGAGTACATAACATGCGCTATCTTAGTAATTATATATTTGGTGATTACCATTACAATGATTTCTCAATTATAAATATATAATAAAAATAATTATATCATTTAAAAAATTAAAAGGAAGAACAAGAAAAAGAAAAAGAACAATAAAATTAAAATTCATTGGCCCTTCCATTTAATAAAGAAAATGTATATCATAGAACATTCAAATTTGGCTTACATCACCAAGAACAAAAACTTGCATTTCATAGCAAATTATCTGCATTTCATATTTCATTTGTTTGTACATATTTTTTATTGAGCTTTACACCTAACACTTTCTTGTTTCACTCTCCATATTATTATATACTCATTCCTATAAAAGGCATGCATAACTTCAATATGACACATACCTTGATCGATGTCTTAATAAACTACTACCAACATTTGAAATATTTATACTCAAGAGCTCATATATAAAAATACAAGTTAGGTTTTTCTTCAGACTAAAGTTATTATGAATTTATTATGTATGGTAAACTGTTTGATATGTTATTTGCAACATATCGAATCATATTATTTATCATATTAATTATGGTAGTGCTAATGGTAATAGTGGAGATGAAATGTTAGTAATGATGATGATAACGACGACAATAATAAAAGTAATGAGGATGCTAAACCATTTTGGAGGTGGGAGTTTAATCAGAAAAAACAACTTGTATGCACTACTAAAGCTTTAAACGCGTATTGTATTAATTATGTGAATAAAAAAACCTTGTATAGTTTCATACAATACAACTATGAGATGATTGACTAAAATTTTAAAAGAACATTGGAAACAATGTATTAATTTGTTTAGGATGGATACATTAACATTGCAAAGCTTGTACTATGATTTAGAAACACAAAATTAGCTAAAACATTGAAGAAGGATGGGTATACTGAAAAGATAATCATATTTCTCTATGAAATAGCAAGTTCAAGAAAAATTTTAATATTCAAGTGAAACTATTAGTTGATCTTTTAATAAAAAAAACTAAAAATGGTCTGTTTGCTTATAATAAATGCTATAAAACTAAAAAAGCCTATATTTTAAAACACTGCATGAGAAATTGCAATGAATTCAATAAATATACCTCCTTTCAAGGTAACACAAATATAATTTTTAATCATTAATGGGAAATACAAATTATTTTGAAATTGTTGTTAATTAATTACAATCTAATGTTATTATTATTTTTTTCATATAAAATTGCATTGGTGCGATTGATGTCATATATGTGCGAGCTTATATATCTCAAGAAAATTAAATATCATTTATCAATAAAAAATATATACTGATGCACAACATAATGATTACATATAGTTTTAACATGTAATTTATATTTGTCTGGGTAAAATAAGAAGGTAGCACATATGATGCTTATATTTTTTATAAATGCTATTAACAATCCCAATATAAATTTTTCAAAAACATTCAAAGGTAATTACAAGATAAAAATTAAATGTTATTTTAACTACAATTATGGCTGATCTATATATGTGAAATTACTAACAAATTTCTTACTTGTTATTATAGGAAAATATTATCTAGTTGATGTTTGATACCCAAAAAAGAATAAATACTTAGGTTTATATAAAGGTGATGGATATCACTTGTAAGATTTTAGTGTCAATAACAATTAAGAATTCAGGAAGAAAAATTCAATTATGCAAACTCGTCATTATGAATGTGTTTGAACATGCATTTGAAATGTGAAAACAGAGATGAAGAATTTTATAAAATATACTCATATGTCCATAACAATCACAAGTTTAAATTATAGTGATATTAATGGTATTACACAATAACTTTAGAAGGATGTCATAGAAAGATATGACATTTATAGAATATAATCGCAATTTTAATTTTATTTTTGATGATTTTTAACCGATATCATTCCATATTCGCAAAGCCATGAAAACTAGAAGCCTTGTTAAATTGATTATGTTCGTGATGAGATTGCAAATAGTTTAATGTGGCAATAAAAATAGGACATTAATATCATATTTTTTATGATGTATTAAAAATTCAATGCACAATAATATATTTCACAACTATAAAATTACTACATGTTCTTTTTAGTTATTTTATTAGAAACAACACTTTCAAAAGTAATTTTAACCAAATACCTTTGAATTACTTTTTACTTAACAATAATTTTAACTATAATTTCAACCAAATATATATTTTAATCCAACAAGCCAAAACTAAATGTGATTTTATAAATTTTTCCAAGCCACAACTATAAAGCTACAATAATGGCAAACACATACTAAATGTTTTGTTAAATGCAAATTCCATGTGTTCATACAATTCTTTTTACTGACTCGATCTTTCCTAAAAACAAAGATAAAGAAAAAAATAATTTTAGTATAATTAATGCTGGATGGGATAAGCAATTCATAATCCATTACATGCAAATTATTTGTGTTGAATTATTTTAAATTAAAGTTGTTTTTAGTCTTGATTCTTGACTACTTATTAATGTTTTAAAATTTAAAAATATGTTTAAATCGTGATGTTATGCTTATATTATATAATCTAAAGTTTTTTTTTATTATATTTGAATTGGAATCATGCATATTAAAATGAATATTTTGAATTGCAGACACAAGACCTACATCTTGAAATGAAATGCCAAAATAATTTGAAACTAAAATTTATTGTTACAATAAGTAAAACAAAACATCCATCTAAATAGAATTGACAACCTTTAAATTTATATATCAGGTTGGTTATTATTGGGTAATAAAAGCTGGAATCTAAACAATAAATAAAGGTGTTTTAAAAAGCTTGGTCTTGGCTTTTTTAAGGTTTAGTTAGAGCATAATTTATAAGCCATTTTAAAATGTTATCCTAATGAATACTAAAACTATAATCAAACTAGATTTAGCATTCAAAATCCATACTCGCTGTGTAATGAATCGAATAATTTTAGGTTTGATTAAGCATGAATAGTACCAAAAACCAATGTTAATACACATTGCTAGTCTCATAACACCCTTTAACTACTAAAGATAATATTTGATATTGTAATAATAAATTTTTTTATTTTTTTTATAATTGATCTAAAAATATAAAGAATAATTTAAAATAAAAAAATAAGTTTTTTGAAAAGTATATTTTGTCTGCAACTAAGAGACCCAAATTCATGTTAATTCTTGTACTAACATGATTCTACCCACTATACATATCTAATTGGCTTGTTAAATAACCGAATAGATGATTCAACTAAGGTTAAGTAAAAACATTATACAAAAAATTAAATGACAAGGATTTCATTATAGTTTTAGACACAGATTATTATGAATTGTGACAATAAAATTACATGGGTATATTGTGTAATTAAGATGATCATAAGAGGTGTTTTAATATTTTTCATGTTGCATTTTTTATTTTATAATTGAAAAGCTATTGGTGCGTATTGAACACACCCCAACGAGTTGGCGGCGCCTGCACCATTAAAATTATGTGTTACACGTTTTCTAGTGGCCAAATTTAGCTATCTGTCATCTTACTAAATACACAACCATTCCTTCTTCTATATGGTGTAGCGTATGTATATATATAATGGTTGAATTGCTATCGATGATTGATTGTTTGTATTTTTTCTTTCTTTTCTTTCTCCTAACAACTAAAATATATAATTATCTTCTCATTGTTTGTTGTTTGCTCGAGTTTAATATATTTTCCAAATCCAAGTTGCTTAAGTCAACATGATTGTCAAACCTAAGGTTGTTGGGTCTGGTATGACTTTCAGACCTTACCTCTTTACCTTTTAGTGATTTAAATTTAAACTTTTAGTTTAGATATATTTGAGTTTTTTTTATCTGGCTTAATGGTCATTAAAAAAATTATTTGGGAGGTGTATATATCTTTTCCAATTTCTAACATAGTTAAAGTATACTTTTACCTCTAGAATTAACAAAAATTAGAACTATTGATCAATAATTTTTTTTAATTTTGCATGATATTTATAATAATAAAAATACTTATTTGCCTATGAGATAAAAAAAGTATAGGCTAACAGAAAAAGATATTTTAGGATTTTTAATTTCTATATACAATATAATAATGATTTTTAGCCTCAATAAAAATAAAAAAGTAGTTTGTGGTTGATATTTTTATTAAATTCAAATATCTTAAGTTTAACAATAATATTATTTAAATTATTTATATTTAATAAGTATATTAAATTTATATTATTTAGGACTCTTGACTTAAAATATTTTTAAATTTCCCAATGTTAAGGTTAACTTAAAATATTTTTAAATTTCCCAATGTTTTTTTAATTTTCTCCTCCTCTGAAAATTCTCCATTAGCGCCGTCACAAGTCAGTCACACTATAAGGCCGCCGCCACCTCAACTTCCTTCCTTTTCTCGAATCAATCCTCAATTCCTAGATTGTTCAAAGTCGTGTCCGTAAAGTACTGGGTTAGAAGACTTGGGCTGTGCAATTCAGTTAACAAAATTGTCCAGTGCTGCTGCTGCAATTACGTATACTACAGTTCCTCCTCATGGAGTAGAGGAAAAAACGGTGCAAGAAGAACTCTCTCTTCCAATTTTACTGGCAGATCGTGTCATAAAATCAACCCAAGAAGCTGAATCTTCGAAGCATGACTGTTCTGAATTGGCAAAACAAGTTGACCGCCTTTCCCAAATCCTCCGGTCTGCCGTCCGCCTTGCCATCTCCACTCCTTCCCTCTATGATCGTCCTCTCCGCCGTATCGCTTCCGACATCACCAAAACCTTGACCGTGCACTAACTGTAGTCCGCAAATGCAAGAAACATAGTGGGGTACTTCGTCAAGTGTTTTCTATCACTACAACTGCTGATTTTCGAAAGGTTACGAATCTTTTAGTGTCTTCTATTGGTGATAAGAAATGGTTGCTTTCGATTTTTGAGTCTGATGGTGGTGCTCATTTGTCTTTGCCTCCTATTGCTAGTAATGATCCTATTCTTGCTTGGGTCTGGTCTTCTATTTCTGCTGTTCAAAGGGGTCAAGTTAAGGATCGTGTTGATGCCGCCAATCACAAGACCATTGATGTCTTTGTTGTCTAATCATTTGGATTTGTAAGTAGTGTATGATAATCCTGTTAAAACTAGTATTTCCTCACTTGTCGAAATGAACAAACAATTAGCTTATAAGAATGTTAAGGCTAATTATAATTCGGACAGTAGTAGCCATGGTGGTTCACATAATAAGAAGGAGAGGGAAATGGAGACACCAGAGGTGCATCTTAAGCTTAAGGTTAAGGTTAGTTGTGCTGAGGCATTATGGAAACTGTCAAAAGGGAGTTTGTCTAATAGCAGGAAGATTACGGAGATGAAAGGCTTGCTTTGTTTGGCAAAGATTGTTGAGAGGGAAAAGGGGAATGCAGTTTAATTGTCTGATGACCATTACGGAGATCACAGCGGTGGCAGAGTCCAATGCTGATCTTAGACATGCAGCTTTTAAGCCTAATTTGCCTGGTGCAAAGGCGTTTTTGGATTAGCTTTTAAGAGTGATTCAAGAAGAAAGTGATCCAAAGTTGCAGATTCCTGCTATTAGGTCTATTGGTTGCTTGGCTCGAACATTTCCTACAAGGGAGACTCGAATAATGAGGCCTTTGGTTTCTCATCTAGGAATGTGGATATCGCTACAGAAGCTGCAATGGCCTTGGGGAAGTTCGCATGTCCAGAAAATTTCAATTGTTCAGAGCATTCAAAAGCAATTATAGAATTTGATGGGGTCCCCCCTTCAATGAAATTACTACGGTCTGGAGGCTCAACTACAGGGACTTGTATTATTATGCTACCTTGCATTGAATGCTGGGAACAGGAAGGCTCTTGAGCAAGCACGCTCCTTGAATGCTCTCGAGGGGACTGCTCGATCTGTTTTAGCTCAACATCCTGAATTGAAGGATTTGACTGCCAAGGCCATACTCCACCTCATTCTTTATCATTCTGGAGCTACTCTTAATAGACAGTCTCTGGCATCATGATCACTACTGTTGCCAGAACAACTCATCCTTGTGAGTGTTGTAATATACATTAGACTAGATTCTTATAGTCATTTGATGAAAACTTAGTTGATTAGGACATGATTGTTGAGCTAGATTCAGTGCATGCTTGAGAAATGTATCAGATTTCAGTTCCACCTAACTGAACTAGGTTTTCTAGCTTTACTGTTAATTATTGTCAAGTTTATTTGTTTGTTTTGCAGTTTATACATTTATATTCAACCTTGAAGCTCTGAAGATACCCCTGCATCAGGGTTGGGTTTGGTTTACAGCTTGCAATTTAATAAGCTTGTGGTAAGCAACCTTCGACTGAATTTCTTCAGAATTGTGGTTTCCATGTTCTTAAAAATTTCTACCTTGATGTTTATTTCTTTCTTCAAGACATGATCACAGCATTAACTTAGTGATTTTTACTTCTGTAGTTTCCACCTCTGTTTGAGATCGCTGTTGGATTATTGTTCCACCGTTGTAACCATTTGCAGCAATCCAAACACTTCACGAGGATGCATATGTCAATATACTCAGAAACCGAGAATACCAAGAGAGTTTTTGAAAACCTTCCAGCCGTTTCTGTGTTTTTATTCCCCCTCTATTGCCCTATGCATAGATGGTTTTGCTATACAGGCTTTTGCTGTGTTTTTATTCCCCCTCTATTCCCCTATGCATAGATGGTTTTGCTATACAGGGAATCTAACTGATTCCTCAAAATCAGCATCAATACATGGTAAGATAATCTTTATAGTTAATATTATAGAGTTCTAAATTGTGCAAATTTTTAAAATTATATATGGTAACATCTCCTCTTAAATTGATATTGGTAAGTCAACTATCAGCAATTTGCCAACAAAAGATTGATGCCCCCGTCAAAGCATAGCTTTGGTGAAGACATCAATTACTTAAAAATCAGAAGATATGTAAGGAAGAGATATCACCCGATTTTCCAAGGTGTCATGAATAAAATGACAATCAACCTTAATATATTTGGTGCATTAATGGAAAACAGGATTGGTGGCAATCTGAATAGCACTAGTGTTATCAGCATGATATGGGGTAAAAGTGTTATGAGAAAACCCAAGCTCCTCAAAAAGACCGTAAAACCATACAATTTTAGAATAAGTAATAGATATAGCATGATACTCAACTTTAGTAGAGGATTTAGAAACACGATCTTCTTTTTTACATTTCTAAGAAATTAAGGCATCAACTGAAAACATACACCAACTCGTAGTAGATCGACGTGTATCTGGATACCCATTCCAATTAGCATCATTATAGGCAACAAGTTAAAGAGAGGAGTCGGTAGAAAAGAACAACCCATGAGTAGGTGGACCTTAAAGATATTGGATGATGCGTTGAATTGTAGCAAGATAGAGAAGCCGAGGAAAAGACATAAACTAACTAACTTGATGAACAACATAAGATATATCAAGTCGTGTAGTGGTCAAGTAGATAAGACTCCCAACCCTGCTCCTATAGAGAGTATGATCATTTAGTAGGTCCCTTCATCTTTCTTGTATTTGACATTTACTTTCATAGGAGTATCAATAGAAGAAGTGTTCTCTAAACCAGCCAAAGTGATAAGATCTTGAATATACTTATGTTGCTTCACAAAAATACTATTTGGTTGATGATGAACTTTTAATCCTAAGAAGTATGTGAGTTGATCAAGATCTTTCATATAGAAAATTTTATATAATTGTTGATGAAGCTTAGTAATCAAACCATAGTTAGTGCCAGTAATAATAATATCATCCACATAAACCAAGAGAAGGACTATACCCGACACAAATGTGTGAAAGAAGAGAGAAGGGTCATACTGACTTTGTGTTAAACTAAAAGAAAGAAGTGTACTGCGAAACTTCTCAAACCGAGCCCATCTCTAACAGCATTGATAAGCAGAGAACTATCATCAATGGTATTATTTTTCAAATTTCCGTCATAATTTCTGATATTGGAAAGAGGAACAACAATATTGGTCATGTGGTTAGAGGCACTGAAGTCCAAATACCATGGCTGAAAAGGAAATTAATGATTATTTGAGAATCCAAAAGCAGAAAAAGCAGAAATGATTACATGTTATACCATTTCAGGATTGAGTGTATTTGGGTTTGCTATAGGAACAATAGGCGAGGCAATAGCCAATGCAATAAAACTAGAGGCACCAATAAAGGTATGATAAGCATTCCTTGCTTCCTTTTAGGTTGAGTGGGACAAAGAGAGATGATATGACCATATTTCTTGCAGTAATTGCAGAACTTCTTGGGGCAATCCCGAGCAATATGACCAAAAGCTTTACAACTAAAGTATTAGACAACATGCATATCTTTACTCTTATTTCTTCCATGTGCTGCATAAGCCACATAAATAGGTGTACTAACATTTTCCCTATGTTCCATAGCAACCTGAGTTACAATACACTGCTTCCTATGAAGAAATTCACTCAAACAGGCATCCAAAGATGATACATGATGACGATTCATCAGATTAGAAAGTACAATTTCAAAATCAGAATGGAGCTTCATTAAAAATTAATCTATCTTAATTGTTTCATGCATTGCCTGAACAACATAGAGAGTTGCAGCAGGAATATTAGCATAAACAATATCTGAATAATTAGCCTAAGGATTTTGAAAACCATAAAAGTATTCTTCAATGGAGAGACTTCCTTGCGTAAAGTTAGTCATCTCATATTCCAATTAAAAACGTTGAGCTGTGTTGTCTTGATTGTAAACTTTATTTAGATAATTACACATAGTAGCATCAATTTTATAAGGCCTTAGATTGAGAACAAGGTGAGGTTCTAATGAGTTATGGATCCAGGTCATAACCCCAGCATCCATGATTTTCCATCTCGACAAAGCATTAGCATCTGTAGGTACAAGATTACTCCTATTAATATGACCCCATAGTTCTTTTTATTTGACAAATAATTGAAATTAAAACTCCCAAGTAGAATAATTTTTACCATTAAAACGGACATGGAATGAGTCTAGCTTATTGAAAGACATGATAAAGCTGAAAAAGAGAAGAAATCCAATAGAAGATTGTGAACCAGAAACTCAAAACAGATTGTGCCGAGAAGCAAACCCAAACCAGGAATCAGATTTGAATCTGCTGAGAATTAAATCCAAGCCAAGAACAAAATAGGAGTTGTTAAGGATGAAAATCAAACCAGGAATAACAAAAAACAGGGAAATCAGGATGCAAAAGCCGCTCTTTCTCTCTTGCCAGCACAATCTCCACTAGGAGTAATCGAAGATGAGTAAGGCAGCAGATGCAGCAGCAAGAACCAGAGGGAAGTCAGGATAGAGGCAAGCAAGGATTCAGAATTAGCTCTAACACCATGACAATATACTCAGAAATCGAGAATATCAAGAGAGTTTTTGAAAAACCTTCCAGCTGTTTCTCTTTTGCTGTCTTTTTATTCCTTCTCTGTTTCTCTATACAGAGAAGGTATTGCTATACAATGAGTCTAAATGATTCTTTAAAATTAACATCTATACATGGTAAGATAATCTTTATAGCTAATATTACAGAGTCCTAGATTGTATAGATTCCTAAGATTATATATGGTAACAGTACACTATTCTGTTGGTAATGGTATGGTCTCTGATCCTTTACTTTTCCATTTGAATAGATTCTGTTAGAAGTGGTTTACCATGTTTTTTTTAAAGTTTTAGCCCATTTGATTATTGATTGGTGATCAAGCTCAAATGAATGGACTTGTATTATTATGCTACCTGGTAATAAAGGTTGGGAAGAGCAAGGCTCTTGAGCAAGTGTGGACTTTGAATGCTCTTGAGAGGGCAGCATCTTCTATAGATGAACAACCACGATCACCCTTATCTTGTTTTGCTGAAGCTCATCCCATAGACAGCCGTTGGCAACATAATGAATGCCATTGATTTTACATCCAAAAAAATTCATCCTTGCAAGTGTTGCTGTGATATTTGTTAAATGAAATTCATAATTGTATACAAAAGATGACTTTGTTGGTTAGGAGATGATTGTTCAACAAGGTTGATTATAACAGAAACATGTTGCTCATAATTTTGCTTGCAATGTTGAAGAACCATTGTGTATCTGTTTCTTCTTTGTTTTGTGCTTGTACAGTCCTTTCCTCGCAGCAAACAACCTTGTCTTGCATCTATGAAGATGCTCCTTCTATAGGATTGCTTTTGGTTTATATCCTGCAATCTTTAGCTACAGATTTTGCTCGGAGTTGTAGTTTACCACAACTTGATCTATATGATTATTTTTTACCCAGAAAATCATCATATCTTGAATATTCTGTGGTTGCAATATTATTGGCAATAATACATATTCTAATAGCTGATTATGTATATATTATTGGCAATAATACATATTCTGTGGTTGCAATCTTTCTTCGTATCAATGAAACCCTTTATATATAGTAGAAGATATCCCTAAGCATCTAGCTGTCTTACAATAGGAAGCTGGTTGAATTCAATTATGAAGAGGTGGAAGTATATATTTAATTCTGCAGCAACTTTTTAATTCCTTTTCTTGTAAGGTTCCAGACCAGATTTTATTGTCAGATCTTCTAACATGCATGCTTGAATTGCTGGTGGAAGGGATCGTTTGTGGTAGTTTTGAAACACTAAGGGGATATAAAACAATATGTTTTATATTATAAACAATAATCTCATGAAATTGCAAACTCTCACCCTTTTTTTTTTAATGTTTCTTTCTTATATTTTTCACAATCAATAACATAAACTTGCTATCTATTTATACACAAAATAAAAGCATAAAAAATAATTGGAAAAATAATAGTTTCATGTGTGAAAGACAATGATAAATGGTAGTGTGAAAATGGTTGATGGCTGCTGGTCAATCGTTAGTATCTGCCATCTTTAACTTTGTAGATTGAGTTTACTACAACAACTTTCTCTTTTAAACTTAATTAAAAAATGTCATTACAAGCATAAACTTTTATTAAATAAATGCTTCTCCCTTTAATTGCTTCTAAAGATATTTGTAACTTGATTATTTATTTTGTAGAATATCAGTTCAACTTCTTTGTTTTTCACATACTCTCCGATAAAGTGATGATATGTATTGATGTATTTATTTCTTTTATGATTCACTAGGTTTTTTTTCTAATGCAATCGTCTATTGATTATCAATATAAATCTATTTAAGATTTTCTTAAGGAAATCTCAAATACTTAATCATATTTCTTAACCATATTAAATGGTATATTACTAAGTTGGCAGTAACATACCCAGTTTCACAACTTGATAATATTACTATTGATTGTTTCTTGGATGACCATATAAAAATGTATCTCTCATAAAAAGGATAAATCTTGTTATGCTTTTTTTTTTTATCCAGGTCTCTTCCCCAATCATTATCTTAGTATCCAATAATAATGAAAATTTTACTTCATTTATTATTTCTTTGATGTAGCGAAGAATTCTCTAGGCCGCATTCCAGTATGACTGATCTAGTGTCTTCATATATTTGCTGATAAATCCTACTCCATAAAGTATATCTAATTTAGTACATGTCAAGTATCGCAAGCTTCCTACTAAGCTTTTAA